CTTCATGCCTATGAGCTCAATAATTACCCACACTGGTCCCCACAACCTTGCATAATGTCCTGTCACACCACAAACCTTCTGTACAGTTTCTGGTACGCCTTTGTGATCCAGCACCTTGATACTCACAAGGGTTTGCTGAGATGCAGAATCTATGACAAAGTTGCACCTTTGGCCATCCAGCTTTTCTGTCATGTAGACACTATGTGTGCTTGCCATTTTACACTTAGCTGTTGGGACTTTCACGATGGGGGTTGGTGGGCGTCCCTCAGCACCAACCACTACTGGTTTCCCGAAGCTGACTTATTGGTGGATTCTTCTTGCACTGGCTTCTCATATGTCCTTGCTCTCCACAGTTCCAACAGCCTTTCTTGGTAGCAGCCTTTCCCGTCATGGCATCTTCCCTGTGTTGAAGTTCCAGCATTGAGCTCTCTTGTGCCCAGGTTTGTTACAGTGCCAGCAAAGTCCCTCAAACTTCTCTGAAAGCTGCCCTTTTCTGGCCTTGAATCCTGACGACTGTACCAACCTTGGTACCTCTGTGCTGGACTTAATGTAGGATTTGAATTCAAGAGCTCTGGCCATTGCATCCTGCATGGTAGAGGGGTGTGCTTGCTTCACTTGTATCTTCAGTTGTGGACTGTCTAAGGCATCTACACACTGTTCCCTCAGCAACAACTTGAGGAGATCGGGTGGTGCAGTTGGGTAGGCCTTGTGTGCCATACTTTCCAAGTCCTGTGCCAGCTCTTGCAGGCTCTCCCCTTTAGCTTGGACTCTCGTCCTAAACCTAGCCTTGTAGACTTCTGACTGATTTTGGGTTCCATACCTGAGTTCTAGAGCCGCTACCAGTGCTCTATAGTTGTGTCTGTCGTCTGCTGACAACTTTCCAAGTATTTCCAGTGGTTGTCCCTTCAAGCTAGTTGCAAGATATACTGCTTTCCGCTCCTCTGTCCATCCATTCATTTCTGCCAGTAGCTCAAATTGTGCTCTATATGCTTCCCACGGTGCTTTCCCATCGAATTCCTGTGGCTTTCTTCGTACTGGATCACCCCTATTGCTGACATTCGTATCTGGGATGTGACTTCTAACAGGACTGAAGATGTCTACATTAGGGTTTAGCTGCGGGATCTGGAAGGGGCTTGCCATTGTCTGGGGCTGATTAAGTTGATGGTTAATGTATCCTCCTTGTGTAAAAGACAATAGATCACCCTTTAATGCATTTAATTCGCTTTGAAATTTACTAATGTTTTCCATTTGTTCTTCTTGTTTCCTTTCTTGTTCCAGTTGCCACTGCTGTAGTCTCTCTTCTTGTTTCTTTTCTCGTTCTTCTTGTTTATTTTCTTTCTCCTCTAACAACTGCTGTAATTTCTCTTCTTGTTTATTTTCTTTCTCCTCCAACAACTGCTGTAATCTCTCTTCTTGTTTATTTTGTTGTTCGAGCTGTCATTGTTGCAGATTTTCTTGCAACTGCTTCTGTCTCTCTTCTTGTTTCTTTTGCTGTTCTTGTATTGCTGCCATCAAATCTGCTAAACAGTAGTTTGATTTGCCGCTTCTCGTTTTCATCTTCTCTTTTTCTTCTTATTCTTTTATTTTTTTATCCCACTTTCTGACACCAATTTGTTACGTCTCCGTTTGTTAATTGATTTCCCGTAAATTCGTTCCTACGAAACTTTAGCGACACAAGTCCTTACATAATAAAACTGGTTTATTCTTTCCGAATATAACTTTACGATACACTTAATTTCAACAATCGCGCTAAAACAAACGCTATAACAACGAACGTGCTCAACTTCAACTGCAGATCAATTACTCACTGTCTACACACACATTGTCCCGTCACGTTGTGAGCGTCTTATATATATATACCAGACTAACATATATCTAGTAAATGCTAGGGCATTCACGAAGGAACGGGATATTTCTAGAAAATAGGTGGCGTGACATTAGTCACGTGACCTCGCTGACGCAACAATACGTTACTTTAACTTAACTCGGAATATGAACCAAATACAAAGCCTGGTCTACGTTTAATCTACATTACTTTAATCCTGAAAATAATAGTTGGCCATATAAATTCATACAAAAAACATTCAATACCTAGAAATTTATCCTATGCATTATATTCAACAAAAGTATTATAGTACATCCAATCTAATATAGCGATAACTTCTTGATAAATTGTCATGACCGATACAACTCTCAAATCTCATTATTCGTAAGTCTTATTAACGTCTGATGTTTTACTCATACTTTGTGACGTTCAATCCCACTGTTCGATTTAAAGCAGCCCAAACGTTGGCGGTGTTGACTAGCTGTCATCCCATTAGTCTATCACTTCTAACTTAGAAAAGGGTTAACATGCGTAGTTCTCTAGCAGTTTTATATGAAATTAAGAAATAAAGGACTAGATCTTTGAGACATCTGGCCAGTTTAACTTGTGATAAGACAAACAACTGGGTGACAGCCTTTCACCTCCCTCTTCTCCCCTCATGTCTTCAGGTGCCAGCTTCCTTTTATACTGAGGTTAAGTTCCCTTACCATCCCCAAGAGCTCAGTAAGACTTATTCTTTAAGAACTCCATAACCACCAACTTAAACTTTAGCACTTTGAAACGAACGTAGGTTTCTTATAACTTACTTGTGAGAATATATGTCAAAGTTTCCTTCGAAATCTCCTTTATCAGTTGGGTGAGCTTCTTCGATGTAAACTGTAACGAAATCGGCCACCTCTTGGAATTCATCAATTAGCTATTAAAATAATGATATATTAATATATATATTTCTTTAACCCAATGGTTGGTAATATTCAAACATCAAACATGATGAATCGGGAATCAAACACGAAGTTCAAATCTCTATTATAAACTTAGTTTCCTCTTAGTTAATTAACAGGATTCCTAAAGAATGAAAAAAGTTATCCCTGAAGGAAACAGTACTATATACCCCCCCCCCCTAATATGACCTAAGTACTTGTACTTTATATTGATTAATCGTATTTGTTAATTGTTATAAACTGAAACTTCTGTTTATTAGTTGACTTCACTAATGTTCAAGTCCTAACAATTCTTTTGAATATTTAGTTACCTCGATGAACTCTTCCAAGGCAACCATAAACGGGGGTCAAGTACAACTACCGAAGTTTACCACTAGAGGGCGATCTGCTTTCATAAAATCAAGCAGTGAACACGACGATTGGTCTAGTGCATTCAGGAGTTTCGGGTTAGGTGCGGGTTCATGTAATGAAGCAGTTTTGAATGCATCCTGTAAAAGACTATGAAAGAAACATTGATATACTTCAGATGTAGAAATATACCATTTACACAGAATATTGTTTTAAATGATAAATAAAAAAATAAACACGCATACGAAGAAATATGAAATAAAACCAGAAAGGGTGGGGAAGCTTTTTCAGCAAGTGAACGATAACCTAAAATTGGTGAAATATCTAAACGTTTTCTTCAAAATTTCATCGAAAAACAAACAATATCTATCCCAACTAATCCATTTATACATTTATTTACAAATTGGTATTATGACAATAAATTTCTAGCTTTAGCCAGCACTCAAGTCACGTTTCAGTAAAAGTTAGTTATTTTACAAGTCTGTCTTTACAAGTGATATGTAATCTTTAACTGTTGTTCCAATCTACTACTGATAAATAACACCATAAGAATTAAGGTTCGCTCCAAGTGAGAAATAAAGCGAAAGTTTCGAATATCAAAATTTATTAGGCTAAATCACTATTCAATTCTAGGTGAAAATAACAAAGACAAGTGCAAGTTTTGTGAGAATTATCTTTTAAACATTATCGTCTGTGGATACTTACAATAAGAAAACATGGTTATTAGATACAGTAATAGTCGATGAAAAGTCGCTTCAAATTATGTAATAATTTCTATCAAAATATTTGTTTGTTTGTTTGTAATTAAGCACAAAGCTACACAATGGGCTATCTGTGCTCTGCTCACCACGGGTATCGAAACCCGAATTCTTGCGTTGTAAGTCCACAGACATACCGCTGTGCTGGGAGGCCTACCAAAAGAGATGCTAAAAATCTACAATAAGAATTGTTAATGAATTAGTCTAAACTATGAATACTGAGTGAATCATATAAAGCTTCTAAGGCTACATTAATAAGGTATCCTTACCGTTAGCGGTATTGTTAACTAAAATTGAGGTAAAATGTGGCATTATAAAACACAAGCAAAAGTACCCGTCCCCAGTGACGGGAAAAGTTTACGTTAATCTATCAATTTAAATTATTTCATGGACTTAAAAAATAATTGTGTTGCACTTGGTTTCACTCAGGACCAACCAAAGCTTAGAGCTATTTATACTGCCTAGTGCGAAAAGTAATTGTTGAGCATTTCAGTCAGGCTATAAGCTGCTCAACAATAACATACGGTAAATCTGTATTCTTATTCTTTATGTTCCATCACATTCTGAAAAGGGAATGATACTCAATTACTAACAATTTATTAATGCCTGTTCTCCAGTCATTTCAAAACTGAATGTTGAGTTTTGCCTCGGTGCGCAGCTTTTCAAACGCAGCGCAGGAAGCGGCCGCCGTAAACAGGAGGCAGACGAACGCTCGACAGACACCACGGATCGCAATACATACAAGATTAGCTTTCGTCGCGATAAGAATAAGACATTTGAATCTTAAATTTCGTCCACTTTTGTTTCTTGATATGAATCTCCCGTAAAATAGAGTTATCGCTCTTTGAAAACTATAGACAAATAAAACAAGATGTTTATCAGATTTATATTTTCAAATATCGAATCTTTCGTTACGAAACATAAGGACTCTTTCTTTCACAACAACATTATTATATTCGAGGTTCAAACACGTTCTTCTGGCAACATCAAGTGCAGAGTGAATCACAGTACAACTAGTTAGTTATTAAACACATTATAGTTTGCTAGAGTATAGTTATATTACAACACTAAAAGTATATGAAAGATTAAAATATAAAACTCACTTATGAAAAACGTTTCTCACAATGTTCGATGAAGTGCTAAATTTGAAAACGTCTTCTTGAGTAATACTAGTCTTCTTATAAATAACCTTCATATTTTTTGCCAACTTTTTCTTCAAACTTGGAAACAAGAACACCGCCACCTTAATAACGGCCATTGCGGACAGAAATAATAAGAAGCGAATCTGAAAGTATAAAATAATTGCTGTATATTTACTGTGGTTTACACCGTGTTAGTAGCGAAACTAGGGATGAAATACTGCAAGTACTCTGAACCTGATCTTTTAGGGATTACAAGCGGAACACTATAAACTGAAGTCAGGTCCTGACGAAGGTGAGTACCTGTGCTTCTCAAAGATTAATTTTACCACTGTTTATAATCGGTTGATTGTTCAAACTGAGTTCGGAACTATTTTTATTCTAGTGTCCTGCGAAAATGTTCGTATGTTCCCTAGTAAACGTAATGTAACGAATTTATCAGTATGTATTTATTTTTAATATGAACGTTGTTTGGATTGAATTTTATTTAGAAATATGCGTGACTTGTGGTATCAGGTATGTGTTGCGTATAACGAAGTTGTTATATATTTATTTTAATGTCAACGTTTGTTTCGAATAAGCTTATATTTGAGGGCGTATCTAGCTTACGGTGTTAGTTACGTATGGCGAAACTCCCGCCAATTCTCCAAGATTGTAGAATATTCGTGAACACAAGAATCAACAATATATCCACTTACATAACCAGTATTATCATAAGTTTCTAGAAAATGTGTCTCACTTATAAAAACAACAGAGAACAGAGAAGAGACAAGTCTACTAGGAAACTATTATAAACTGTGATTTTGCTAACCCTTATAAACCGGAAAATATACGACATTGACCAGGAACAGTTATAAAT